CAAAAAAAAATAAGAAAAAAATATTCATCACGTAATAAACTGGGTTTTTTCATTTTCATTGGTTCATTCAATCGCCAATTTTAGCTCCTTTGACCACCACAAAATACTGAACAGGCAATATCTACGAAATTAATGTCCATCGCCACAAGAACCTTGCTGTGTGGAGAAAAAATGATCGTGAAGATTGAACCAAACAAGCCAAGTTTAGCAACTCCCTATTGAACATTTATTTCGTCGGGGTGATCCAATCTGAAAAGACAACGAACTGAAACCGAGATAAAAACCGAGCAAAACACGGAAAAGGCAAAGGCAAACAAACACAGGCGAAGCAGCTGACATCAAAAACACGACCGACAAAACAAGACACAGAATAATTCTTCTACTTCTACTCTCTGCCAAACCTTAGCCCTAACTCCTAACCCATAACCCCTAAACCATAAACACTAAACCCATACCCCTAAACCCTAAACACTAAACCCTCACCCCTAAACCATAAAGAGCAACCTCTAACTCCTAATCCACAACCCCTAACCCCTAATCCCTAACCCCTAATCCCTAACCCAACACCCATAACCCATAACCCATAACCCCTAACCCATAACCCCTAATCCCTAACCCCTAACCCATAACCCCTAACCTCTAACCCCTAACCCCCAACTCCTATCCCCAAACTCATTATTCAAAACCCATAACCCCAACCTTAATCCAAACCCCAACCCTAACCCTAAACGAACCCTTACCCTTCACCCTAACCTTAACCCTACGCCTAACCCTAACCTTAACTCTCACCCTCACCCTAACCCCAACCATAACTCTAACCCTAGCCCTAATCTAACCCCAACCCTTAACCCCGAATTTTATCACCACCTGAAACCCCAAACCTTTGAAAAACTCACGGAGAGATACCCCCCTCTCCCCATTCCAAGAACGACCTAGTGGGGATTTGAACCAGGGTCATTCGCATCATAGCCAGGCATGACACTTGAACCGGGAGCACGAGGCAGGGTTAGGCCAAGGGAAACATGGAGGAGATGTGTGGAAAGGGACATGAGAGAGATGAAGCTCACTTTGAAGGATGGCCCAGGACAGAGATAAAATGGAAAGAGCGTATATGTAACCTATACCCTGCCAGGTGTGAAAGGTGAAAGGCATTGATGATGATGATGATGATGATGATGATGATGATGATGATGATGATGATGATGATGATGATGATGATGATGACACTTGAGCTGCGCCTTTATGAGTTCGTTTGTTTGAGTAAAGAGAGACACATAATAGATACCCAATGGCCGCCATGTATTGCTTAGAAGGGGAAAAAAAGAAAGACAGAAACAACAGAGGGAAAGAAAAAAATTTGATCTACCATAGGCATCCTCCAACCACCCGCTGTAGAACCTACAAGAGGCACCCACTAACCACCCACAAAACTTACCAGTGGCACTCTCCAACTACCCACTAAAACCTGCCAGTGGCACCCTTCAGCCACTCACTCTAAAACCTACCAGTGGCACCCTCCAACCACCCGCTATAGAACCTACTAGTGGCACACCCTCAAAACCAACCAGTGGCACCCTCCAACCACCCACTAAAACCTCCCAGTTCCAACCACTCGCTGCCCGTGTGACTATGATGAGTGCGTAATTAAAGGACAGACAACAAGAGGAAGACCAAAGGCCTTGTCAAAGGGCCGAGCCCCGGACCAAAAGTCATCGCCCCCACTCGTCAATCATGAAGGGACGAACGATCATGGACTGTTTCCTGGTCCTACAGAGGTGGGAGGTGAGAAATGGGGGAAGAGGGGATGGGGAGATGGGGGAAGGGGAGGGAGATGATGGGGTTAGGGGGAGGAGGAAATAGAGTGAGGGGATGGAGAAGATGGAAGTAGGGGGAGGAGGAAATAGGGTGAGGGGGAAGGAGAAGATGGGAGTAGGAGGAGGGAGAAGATGGGAGTAGGGGGAGGAGGAAAAAGGGTGAGGGGAGGGAGAAGATGGGGTGACGGTTGCAAGTCCGAGAGTCTACTACGGGGTGCCCACTACGGATGGGATTGGCGGATCAGGCCGATCGCCCGACGCGGTTGCCTCAAGAACGAACAAATGTGTTTGTTTTCAGTTTCAAGCGACCGAGTCGGGCGATCAGCCTGATCCAGACTTAATGGGCACCTCGCATAACAAATAATCCACAGACGACACGTTCAATGGATGGCCAGCATGAAAAAAATTCAATTCTCCCATTTTCTTCTTTTTAATCTAAAAACGTGGCTGCAGCATGATAATAATAGCAACGACAGCGAAGGATGATTCCTTGGACGAGGCAGAAAATCTTACGTATTTTATACCACTCCGGAGGTAACTGGTTTTCCTTTCAACCCCAGTTGGTCAATATTATAATCTGAAAAGGGCGGAAAGTTTTTTCTCAAACCCAGTCTTTCATCTCCCATTGATGAGTCAAGCGTGTACTATTCTTAAGTTTTTTTCTTCTGCACTCTGACCAATGAGTACTTGAAAAGCATTGTCAAACTAAACAGTAGTGAAGCGGTAACACAAACTGGGTCAAGCAGCCCATTAACTCACTGAGGATGTAGGGGACATACACGAAAGACAACTTTAAGGCATACATGTATAATTTCGAACCATCATGCGCAAAACATATACGAATTTGCATATTTTTCGTACGCATGTTGTTATCTCGCTTTTTACGTTTCAAATTAAGAAAACAGAAATGAAAAATCTATATGATGAATAATGAAGCTTTAGAAAAGTGCCCCAAACAGGAGGTCTACAAGCGTTGTCCTATGACCTGAGTGCACGTCTCCTTTACTTTACTTTACTTTTATCCTCCGCTTATACCCTTTTGGGTGTCGCAGGAAGAAAGAGACGTCTCTTAGTCGCCAGCTTTGTTGTTTTTTTTCTTCGTTTTTTTCCTAAACACCCCCCCTCCCCCAATGCACGTCTTCAATTAATTAAATGCCTTGCGCTTGGCATACGATAATATGTACTCACTTTCACAAGAGACCTGTCGGATCTCTGTCTTGAGAGAGTCTAGCTCAGAGTACTGGTCCAGGTTCTGCACGTGTGTGCACGTGGGCTCAGAGGCCAGGGCGTTGAGCTCTGTCACGTCTGTGTCCGTGCCCACACCTGGAGGTACAGGGAAACATGCCAGTTGGGAGCAGAAAGTAGTGAAATAGTATAGGTTTAACTCCTCAATCAACACTATTAGGTTATTTAAGAGGCGGGACCTCCGAGTTTAACGTTCATCTCCGAAAGGACCGAGCGTAATGAAAATTTTCGAGTAAAGTGCATTTCCCAAGGACACAACATCGGACAGAGCTGAGGCTCGAACCCGGAACCCGGAACCCGCAACATGAGTCCGCCGACGCCACTTGGGAGCAGGAGACAGCGCGTGAACTAGTCACTGTTCGCTTGTCTATTACACGTTCAGTTAAAACTGACAGTTGTCCGTCTTCTATGTGATTAAAAAATGATATATGATGGCTTTTGTTTTTTGGAGGGGGGGGGGGGGATCTTTAAAATCCAGAAAAAAGAGTCATCTGAAAGTCATTATGCTGATTTCAATATATGCTGGTTCTGAATTTGATATTATTTTTTACGTTAAGACGTAGTTTTTAATAGGTTGAAAACGACAATTTCATCATCAGCGGGCTGCAGACATGACAGACTATCCAACCGGTCGGCCGCAACAAAAATCAGACATAGCTTGATTTTTTGTGCGTCCGGCCTTGGACTTTGGGACTGTGTGCAGGCCGTTGGGGCTGTCTCAAAGTGGGCAATTTGAAGGCAAAATAACAGTAAAACAGTTATTATTGTAGCTGTCCTCAGACTGCGCCGAAAGGGCGGTGTTTAATATAGGGTCCAGGTTTTTTAAAAAACGTTTTTATAACACTGTACCTAGATTTTTAAAAAAAAGTTTGGTGGCTGTCCTTGAGGAGTGCCATGCAAAGTTAAGTACACATTGGCGTATTAACGAGTGAGTAATAAAGAGCCAAGGAGTATACGGACGAGACAAAGATAAACATTATTTCTCACCAATGACAAACACGGTGACGCCTTTTTGCCTGAGTGCGGCCGCGTTCCTCTTGGAGGCCAGGCTGTCGTCGGACTGACCATCGGTCAAGACAATAGCGATACGGGCCGCATCAGAACGGGATCCGGACTGGAGAAGGTGGGGTGAGGAAGAAACAGGACGAAATATAACAAAACAATTTGTTTATGACTATCAGCTATCACCCAACTACACATGGCATATTATAATGATACGTCATAATGACCAGACAGAATTAAATAACGACTAGACAACAGTCAGTAAGCGATCACACAGAAGTGAGTAAACGACCTCACAGAAGTGAGTAAACGACCACACAGAAGTGAGTAAACGACCACACAGAAGTGAGTAAGCGACTAGACAATTTTAACAGTCAGTAATCGACCACATAGAAGAGAGTAAACGACTAGACAACAGTTAGTAAACGACCACACAGAAGTGGGTAAACGACCACACAGAAGTGAGTTAAACGACCACACAGAAAAGAGTAAACGACTAGACAACAGTTAGTAAGCGACCTCACAGAAGTGGGTAAACGACCACACAGAAGTGAGTAAACGACCACACAGAAAAGAGTAAACGACTAGACAACAGTTAGTAAGCGACCTCACAGAAGAGAGTAAACGACTAGACAACAGTTAGTAAGCGACCACAGAGAAGAGAGTAAACGACTAGACAACAGTTAGCGACCACACAGAAGTGAGTAAACGACCACACAGAAGTGAGTAAACGACCACACAGAAGTGAGTAAGCGACCACACAGAAGTGAGAAAGTGACCTGGACAGTGAAGAGTGTGTCCGTGGCGTATTTGAGGGCCAGGTGGGTGTCCGTATTGCCCAGCTTGGGCTGGATGTTGGCGATGGCCTGTCGGACTGCGGTCACCGACGTGTACTGGTTAAAGATGAAATGTACCTGAAGACACAGAGAAAGTGTTGTCAGCTGTTGTTATCATTGTCCACATCATCATCACCATCATCATCATCATTTTTTGATAAGCAGGGTAGGAGGGAGAGTCTTGTTTTAATTTTAGACAAAA